GTAGGAAAAAATGTTCACTGAGTGCAACTAAAGTTGGAAATTTTGTCTGGTGAATGAATGTCAAACAGCAATGAGAATCTCCTCCATGTATATCAGAAATCTTCGATGAACTAATCTGAATACCAAAACAGAAAACATATTATTGACCTTATCAAGTTTGTAAAGAATAGGACGGAGAATATTGTGTTTTCATTATGTTCATACTCCATACATCTTATTTGTGTACATATGTGTTTGTGTGTCCTATGTGATATGCATTCAAACGGATATTGCATAGAAATTGGAAACAGTCACGTAATGCTTGTCACTTTTGCGACTGAACAGAAAAAAAAATGACAAATTAATTTTATATTTTTCCCTTCATTTCTGTACAATAAACATAACACAAATGATTTTCACTTATTAAAATAGAGAAAAACTATCTTAAATTGTTTGAAGATTTCTTACATTGAGAATTTGGTTGAAGATAATAATTTCTGACGAAAATATTTGTCAAGTTGGTGATGTTGGCCAAATTTATTCAAGTGATCATGTGTTGTCAAAACTGTTGAGAAATAAAATTAAATTTTATAGATTATATAAAGTGAATTTATTGAGACTAAATCTATCGCAGTAAAATTGTTCTAGTCACTTCTATGACTAATTTCTAATGATGGTCTAACATTGATCATTGATAATCCTTTGAATCACAGATTTATTAAACTACTCACTTTTCAACTTAGAAGTTTGTTTAGTGGTTGTTTTGTCGAGTAAAAAACAAAACGATAAAAACACACTGTGGTGCTGCGGTGCGAGCTACTTATAAGTAGTATATGACGTGAGCGTCAAGGTAATGTCTGGCAGCCGAAGATGGGGGGAAGATCAAGAAAGGAAGAGTTCGAAAACAATGGAATTTATATGAAACCCATGAATAATGACAATGGATTGATGTTTTGCAACAGGAACAGTCCAGTTCTACATGATGAACTGTTATTTTGCAAATTACCGATTTACGATATGGTTTTCCAATTTTACTGAGTAACTCTGTAATTTTCGTAAAATACAATTCGGTTGCCCCACCTGTGTTCTCGTTCACTACAACACAACTGCATCCAAACCATTTTGAATGTTCTTAGTCATTTAAACAAGAGGGAAACCCTAATAAGACAAAAGAGTTGTTTTTATATTTATCTTTACTCCACAGTAAAACTATGTTTACATTATCCTGAAGTTCAGTGAATTATGAACTTTGAAAAGGTAACAAACACTTCATTAGGTGTTTATTGAACTCGTTTATAATGGGCGATTAAAATATATACAACCATGTAATTCAAGTAGTACTTTTACTACTTAGAGGAAATCCTTGAATGGTACTACGAATTTTTCAAGAATATTTAAATGGCAAGCTCTTTCGATTCATTTGTAAAGTATTTTTTTTTAAAAAAGGATGAATTATTATTTGACTTTTAGTAATAGTAGTGATGTTATTAATTTTGTTTTAATCGAACCGTTATTTTATCTCATCCAAAGAATTCACTCGACCTACCATCCATGTATAATGCAGTAAGTTTATCGAAAGATTTTGTTTCAGAAAACGGAGTTTTAGTATATTTATGTAAGTCAGACTTAATCAAGGTTGGCTCAGTCCCCTGTGCAACATTTCTGCTAAGAACAAATGCCGAAAAGAAGTTTCTAAGACAAAAGAGATAAACACTGTAATCTCCTGATTTTGGTAAAATCCCTTTCCCTCGTTTCGCGTTTTGAAGTAACAAACTCGATCCAAGATTATATGAAAAAATACCTAGATAACTTTTTGACTAATCAGTAAAGGGCGTTTAAATCGAAATAAAGTAAATCCAGCTCGATATAAATAATTCTTATGAATAGTAAGTTGTAAATTGTCTGTCTAATGAATAAATAACCTTAAATCTGATGACTGTTTTTCAGTTAAGAATTGTTTCACAACTTAGGAGTCTTTAAGAGACTAGTCAAGGATTGATAAGGTATATACTACTCGTATTATAGGTGTGGTGATAGTATATTGCGCGAGTCAAAACGTAATGTCTGGCAGCAGAAGATGGGGGAAGATCAAAAAAGGAAGAGTGGGAACACAATGGAATTTGTATGAAACGCACGAATAGTGAAATGTCAGACAATGGATTGATGACGGATTGAAGATTTGCAAATTAACCGTTTACGATATGGTTTTCCTATTTTACTGATTAACATAAGTAGTATGCAGCAAAGTGTCCCTCGGCACCAGCATAATAATAATAAGGGAGTCCGTTGCGCCAGGAATTGGAGACAGGCATGAAAAGAATGAATATTAGCTGGGTAGAACTAAAAAGGAGGGCTCGGGACAGAGTTGGTTGGAGAATACTGGTCGGTGCCCTATGCTTCATTAGTGGTGAATGTATAAGTCTGTAGTTGTGATTATAAACTTACCCATTGCTTTGCGATTTCAAAATACTTAAACAAATTTGCATTAACCACTGAATTGTAATTCTTTGTTTATTAAGTTTTAATTCACTCATAAACTACATGGACGAAATATTTTTCACTCCCTTGAGTAAAATAATTCCTTAAAATTTTCATTTATGTCAACTGAAATCTAACATATGATAATTATTTTCACGAAACTTATGTGCTTGATTGAGTCAGTATTTATCTTATATTTTCACCTCCAACTCAATAACCACATGTCCAAATACACACATATTTTAGACACACGTACACATCTTTTTAATTATGATCTCTTCGGTTTATGTGATACAATTCATTCAACCTTGATTGACCGAGGTTTGATTTTTTGTCGAGGGTCATTAATAATTTAAAAGCTAACGGAAATAATGATGATGAACTAATCAGCCATCTGAAGATATTTTGCACCGTTAAAAACTTTCCCGCTGCCTAATTTTTCTATCCACTTGTGATTTTATACAAATTTGCCCCAAAGGCTAGATAGGAGATATGAACAAAGTATACTCATTGGCGAATAAACACTTCCCTGAATCACATGTGTATACAGGCGACGACTAAGTTCAATGATTCCATTTTTCCCCTACTAGAGGAAATTTTCTAAGTGTGCCTGTGTAACTAATCTCCAAATACAAGACCTACCAAATTTAAGAATACAACTGTTTTCAACAAATTCAAGTCAAGATAGATTAGGGATAAAAAGACTTTTTACAATGGAATATTCCAATTTTTTGCATTACGGTAACAAATGGCGGGAAAGCACAACTTTCTAATCACACTTAACTTGGTCCTAACTGATTTCCACTACTTTCTTTGACCAGTTGCTCTGTTATGATTCCGCAAAGTTGACTATTTAGGTGATTTAGATTTCTCAAACTATCTGCTTACTGATTGTGTGACAGACAGTCTAGAAAGATAGTGTTAATCTTTAAAATTCCCCAATAAACTTAAAAGTTCTGGCCAGATTAAAACTGAAATTCAAAGTAACTGGACTTAGAGACTATCAGTATCATATATCTTCCAAATTCACAAATCAGCCCATCCAGTCCCACTTTGATTGATGTGGTCTTTACTTCAGGATTTATTAATTCAGTCCTCTATGTTCATGATATTATCCTCCCATTCTCCATCATTAGTTTAAGATCAGAGTATGTTTCCTACAAGTAATGTTATTCTTTAGATTGTGTGAACGTTATTTTTTCCATGTCACGTGGTTTAGGACTGACAATATGGTTTTTCACTCTCTTTACCTTGGTAAGTGTAATTGTAATCAAATAATTTTTTACCTCATGCATAATCTTATTGAAGCTTGGAATGTTGTATTATCATCGTTTCGAATTTTAATTACACAGATTAATTTCTCAACCATGTATTATCGCTATCGTAATTATGTGACCTCACCTTCCTGCCTTCGCATGACTAGATTTTTTCTCATAAATATTCGTCAGCCTTAACAATGTTTAATGCAGTATTCTACCATTAAAATGATAAGTTTTTCAGCTTCATTTCGAATATCACTATCAACTTCACTAAACTATGTCAAATTTTTCGTTTGTAGTCAGTAATATAAGTGTCTTTGTAACCATGGACCGCTTGAAACTGATAGAAATGAAATGCAGATTCATTGTGCTTTCCAAATTTAGTATTTAACTTGTTTAAAACTACACATTATTTACTTTAATATAGAAACTGCTTTACATTGTCCATTGTATTTCAAGCAGTAACATCAACTGTGATACTGAATACCGATATAAATTCTCAAATATCAGTCATCGTTTCTAGTTTACTGGAGACTTTCTACATAATTACAAATAATTTAACTGGGAAATATGCACATCCAATTATTGTTCAAAAGGCTATCTCATAGGTAGTTTGAATTTTCTTAAACTTACCAGCAAAACCTAAAACATCTTCCACATCCATGAAGGAACTTGTGTAATGTCAGCCTAGAGGTACTACCTGGTTGTTCCCCAGCTCAAGGTTAACGGGTATCTATACTCCTACGGTTTGGGAGTAATATCTGCATGAATTTGACATTGGGAGAAAAATAGTCATCTATTGCCATTCAACATTTTAGGAAGATTTTACATTTTGTATTCAAGTAGTAAAAGCCAGCTTAAATTAACTGGAAATTTACCTAGAAATCAATTGTTCTGCAAAATTAGATTATTTGGGAGAAAATTACGTAGTGACTGAATCATTCAGTTAGTCATACAGCAAGCAGATATATGCAGTTATTTACAGAATAATATGGTATTATCACTCTGTCCTTAAGTCCGAAACAACACAACAAGACTTGATTCACTACTAGTGTACCTTGGAACCTAGGGACTCATTTTAAAATTTATTTCAGAATGGTATTTACAACTTGAAAAGGTAATAAGAGACTTTATGAAAATACCCATTTAAATAACAAAGAAACTAGTTCTCGTTTTATAAATCATATGAAAATAACTAGTTGGTAAATCATATTTACAAGCAATTAGTTGATAGCAATAGTTTGACACTGGTTGTGATTCGGAGTCATACCACTTATTTCCACTCTAATCATGGATAGAACAATCATTTAGCACATGACTGTAGACATGTGGAAATTGATGAGGTCGTGAATTGTTGTAATTACTGTTGGATGTTTGTGAGGTAGAAGAAGACGGTGACACCACTGATGTGGATGATGAATGACAGTATGGAGTATTTGGCCAGTTGAATAATAAGTTAGATGAATTTTTAAAATCATTTGTCGTTTGAATTGAATCCACAAATGGTAAATCATTATTTACACATGACTGAGTAAAACAATTTTCATTGGTCGGTAGGTATTTCAGTTTATCATTGACATCGGAAAGTGACTTGAAATAAGTTGACGATTGATCGCATTCATGTTGAATAGTGTTTATATCCCATTGGTTATGCCTATCGATGGATAACAACGGATTAAACAAATTGGTGTAATTTCCTGATAAAATAGAAGGGTTGATCTTCTCTTGGGATAAGAATCTTGTTTCACTCAGTGTTTGAATATCATGATCAGTGTTCGTTTCGAAAGGATGAGTTAATCTAGATATGTTCTGATCATTCCGTTTACTTCCAGTGGTTGGCTTGGCCATAAATAGATTATTATCATTATTATTATTATTAAAGTCTGAGCTTAAATATGTAACCTGTTGTGATGCGTTGGTGAGATATCCGTTGTCGGAAGTTTTGTTTTTCTGTAAATTAGACAACGAGCAAGTAGTGAGATCATTTATGTCACTAAATGAAGTTGACAACTGCTTATCAGGACAGGTTAAATAACAAGAGGCTGCAGCCGCAGCGGCAGCAACTTGAATATTCTTCCATGAGATTCTAGATTTATCTGAAGCTTCACCATTTTTCTGGTCCAAGTCACGATCACCATGATTTGAGTAGAATCCGTTTGATAAACATGTGGAATTACCTGAGAGACCTGAAAGTGATCCATGAACTGACGGGGATGCCAACACTCCACAGGAAGAAGTTGGCGAACAGGATGATTGCATAGCTTGTGCAAGACCGGTGAAATCGAATCTATACGCATATCTTTTTCCATGTACTTTAGTCATAATATTTTTATCATAATAGTATCGTAGAGCACGACTCAATTTATCGTAATTCATATTCGGTTTTGATTTCCTCTCACCCCATCGTCGTGCCACTTCATCTGGATCGATTAACTTGAATTCACCGTCATTTCCTTCCCATGTGATACATGCTATGTTTTGACTGTCTGCTAATAGTTCTAATAAAAATTGCCATAGTTGTATCTGCCCAGAACCTGTTATGAGTGAAAATAATGTAGATAGTCATCAGAGTTATATCTACAAAAACAGAATGATATGTGTAAAACTGCTTATGACCATTTATTATATCATCCTTTTAGTGTATGTTTAACACAGGAGTGTTTCAATTTTCATGTTTCGTTATGGCATGAAAGTTGTGTGATTTCGAACAGCCTATTTAAAAATGTTAACCAGGGAGAATTGTAAGGAAATGGTTGGTAGTAGTTATTCGAAAATGAAAAAAAAGTGCTTCAGAATATTTGAACTACAAATGTAGTTGTTAAGCCTTATATTTAAAAGAATCAAGAAATCGGCTTTAATGTTGAATTATTTCGTTATCCCAGAGAACCTTGTAGATGTTTTCAAGTATTGACACTCTGTCCAAAACTATGCCATAGAAGGAAACTGTAAGAGCCTCAATGTATCAACATAATCATAGTGCTAAAAATTTGTTATTTAGACTAAAAGTATAGCTACGGATTTAAAAGATTTACTTTCTTAAATTAACCAGGAGTTGAAATCTTGATCCAGCCCGAACAATTAAAAATGGATTGCTTTAGTGTAACTGTGAACCAACCGAATGAAAATCAAGGCAATGTTTCTTGCTAGCACCTACACAAGCCACTAAGTAAAGTATCTCGATGTACTTGTCCCCTTCTATTACTTCTGGGTTATGCTTGCTGGGTGGTTTGATTGTGAAGCTCTGTCGATTGTTCTAGACCATATCATCAGTGTTTATTTTAAATCGCAGATTTACTGTTTGAAGTGATTATATGTTGAACACTGAATCTATATGAGATTTTTCTACGGAATGGACCATTTGTAGAAATCATTTTACTATTATTATTATTATTATTACCTCTATCATTTTCACATATTTTGTGAAAGAGTTCACTGTCAATAACCGTCAAGGGTGGTTATTCTTGAAGTACTGACGATCTTATACATATTCATAATGGTTGAACAACGCAAGAATCAATTCAAATGGCCAATCACTTAAGGGCTTGTTACAACTCAAAATCACGAGTAGAAAATATAACAAGATTTAATATTCATTTGAATACAGAAGTCGATTGATAAAAAATATGCCTCAAACCGTGTCATTACTGTTCAACTTATGCTACATTGTAAACTTCGTCGGTTTGAAATGGTTGTCTGAAATTCTTCTTTCGTTTTCTGATTTAATGATGTTTCGGTGACACTGATTCATTTACCTTATTTTTCCCACTGGTTTACAAAAACAATATTGATCAATAGCTGCAAATTATCAAATGATTAGAAGTTTCAGAGAAGAACCCATCTCATGCCTTTAAGCATATGATTTATAACCTTTGAAAACTTGTTTTATGTTTTCTTAAAATAAAACTGAAGCTAAATTTTAACTTTGACAAATAATAAATTAATTCATTACAAAAACTTTAATTGACCAATAAACACAAACAACTCATAAAACGTCAAAAGAGTAGCTAGAATTATATATTTATTTTTTCCATTTGACAAGAAACTATCATTGTGTTTTTCTTAAACTGACCGATTTCTTACTTGATTATAGGAAAGAATGTGTACACAGCAAAAAGAGTCCATCATTCTTGAATACTTTCAAATCGTCGAATGAACGGTAATCAAGATAGATAGACTTAAAGTAATTTCTACTATCATGCATAGTAATAAGGAAAAATCCTAATAAAAATTTCTCAAAAAATATTCCTAAGAAAGTTAGTAAAGCATTGAGTTTTGTGAAAGACTACAGTGTATATGGTTTCTTCTTATCTGTGTGAATTATTAAGTGTGGTATGTCAGCTATCATAATTTCAATATTTTAAGTTTGAAAAAGAAACTGACTATTTCACGTAATTTGTTTATTTCAGCTCTCCAATAGTACTCACATCAGAGTTGAATATTCGGGTTGTCATTATTATATGCTATAAGGTCGATGTGAAAGATATTTCTTTTTACCTGGGTACCTGTAAATTTAATGAGAAAAATTTGATTGAATATCCCTAACACTACCTACGACAGACTGAATAACACTCAGCTCCAGTTTCTGAATTTTATCGTGATTGAGACACAATGAGTGTGAGGAAGGAGTGCTTAAAATGTGAGAATAGGTGTGCTGTTTGCACCACCGATGGTTATTAGCCTAAGTTTGTTGTCAGGATAACCTACAAGTATTCTGTCAAAATGAATCTAGTCTTTCAAATATATTTTCTGTCCTCATTATATTCAGTAATCAAGCTTTATATTAAATCTCAAAAAAAAAAATATTTTCCAAAATATGCTTACGTTTCAAGGTCTGTCTTTTGGCATTAAATTATGATTTTTTTTTGAAATAAAAACAGGGTCATGCCATCTGTTGACTGACTAGTAGAAGATATAGTATAAATAAACAAATTTTTATGTGTACATACATGTGTGTCAGCTAAATCAATAAACCTTTTTTTATTCGCCTCGTTAATGTCAACATGAAAACAAGTTAGTAGCATCACATGTCCCATATATATATATATATATATATATATATATATATATATATATATATATATATGACTATCCTTAAATTTATTGAGAAAAGTAGGAATTTCTATCTTTATAACCCTTAATCTGTCTACAAGCAACAGTGAAAGGATGAAGCGAAGGAGAAATTACTAACCAGAAGGAAAGTCAACATCATCTGGACAATATTTTTTTTTAAAGAAAGCTTAGTTTATATATGTAAGAGTAATTATAAATTCGACTTAAATGAAAGTTACACAAGACTCATGCAGATCAACCTAAAATCAAGTAAAATCTTGGTCATTATGAAGTTTGTTTCTCCCCCTTCACTCTCCTTTACACATATACACACATTCACACAAATAAAGCTGAGAAGGATGACAGTGGTATTTACAACAGCAGTTGGTACTCACAAAACATCTCATTTTACATAATCAATGTTGTTTAGAGGACTTTTTTATGACAAAAATATTGAAATATAGGGATTTTTCACCGACAGAATTATTGACTAATTCCGTGTTCTATCAATTGCAAATCGGAAAAATTAACTTTAAAGAATAAAGCAAATCATAGAGAATGGTGGGAAGCTGTATGCTTCTCATTACAGCTAAATGTTGAAGATTAAAAGCGACTATATTCTCTCTTAAAATGTTTTTTTTTCTTAAATCATACTTTCACTTATTTATTTACTGAAATTAGAGTAAAGAAAACTACCAAATTATTTAGTCTTCAGAAAAAATCTAACGTTTCCTTACATCAAAAACTGAATCGTATACATGGTTTCCGATGTTATATATATATATATATATATATATATATATATATATATATATATATATATATATATATATATATATATATGTATTTTCGTCAAGGGCTAGTTGGGTGGGTTTGTCTGGGAGATACTTTCAACGATGAAAGAGTGTTACTACAAAGTCTATTCACAGATGTAATTGGCCATTATGTTGAGTTTTGCAGTTAGAAGTGTTCCGAATCTTATATAAGTTCAATTCACTCTGAGTAGGTTATAGGTGCACAGTTTCGAGGAACCCTAAACTAAGACTAAATAACTATTCAGTACTTTATAACTTCCAAGGGTATCTCGGTCGAGATAGATCCGCGACGATTTTCACGCACAAACTGATTCGAGCTCCACATAACATCTATGTTTAAATTGTGGATAGGACTATTAAGTAAATTATTGATTTTTAAATCTATTTCCGTGTACTACACCGTAATTACAGACTAATTTTCTGACTGTTCTTGTATTATCCAAATCAATTCTTATCAGGTGAAGGAGCAACTGATCTCAGTCAGTAGCGTGTTACTTGTCATATACACAATGTTAGTTAAGCGATAGTGCTATGAAAAATAGTTTAACTTTAAGAAATAATTATAGAATTGGTATATTATTATGACATTGATTTGTAAAGACTATACGCAAATGGAAACTTCTATTTTTTTAAGTTTACCGACCATCTAGTCCACTTTCAGACATAATACTTTACTTATTCTAGTGGCAAGAGAAACATACGCTAGTGAAAAGTTACTACTCACTAAATCAGTAATACTAGCGTTTATTAACTATATTGTTCGGTAGTGTGAAACGAACATCAAATGAACTGCATTTCTATCGCCATTATTCAAGTATAAATATATAATTATCAATATTGTTTTTCGGTAGCAGAATATACAAGACTAAAACAATCATCCACAATATACTAGCAAAACTATGCAGGAAAATTAAAACTGGTGTCAATCTGTCAAATGTTGTACTACTGACTAATGACACTTTTGAAGTTATCTAATGCTAATAATTAATTGACTGAATGATTAGTTCAGTCAATTAAATTTTCACAAATGTTTGTCAAATAATATGATCATTCAAAGAAAAATAATGGACAATAAAGAATAAATCATTTGTGATTATCAACCTGTTCAAACGTGCAGATCCTACATAACTACAACAACCGTCTGAAAGAATTGACCGGTTTATTTACGCGGAACACACTACACCATATCAAAACTGGACATTCTGGGGAGTTCGGTTTATATCTTTTCTGGTAGAACAATCAACAAGGCGATAATTATCATGTATCATTAATATTCTGAAACTCATTTGAATCTTCTGAGTCGGCTGATAGTACAAAACTAACGGGACTGAAATTATTGACGATCTAAGCTTAAATCCATCGGCTTATTTCCATTTTCCGCCTGATTCCTTGAATGGAAGGTTTTTTCATGTATGTGGTAAAGTAAACACTATGGAGTATGAATGCAATTAATTACTCGTAAATTACAACACATAGAAAGTCTGCGAAAAAATTGATCATATTTAATATTACTCACCCTGAGATTTCGACTTGATCCCATGATTTAAGCAAGTGGACTTGTCCAGTGTTGAATTTAAACAAGACTCTGTATTCAAATCATTTGGAAAAGGTGGAATGTAAAATGAATTAACTAGAAAAAAGTAAGCACAAAAACCAAAACAATAAAATGTTTTTTTTTTCGACGAAAGCCTCAACAGTATTCACTAAAATTAATGTTAATCAATTTGAGTGGATTAGTTAAAAAGTTGAGAATTATTATATTTCGTTTAGAGAGATCGGGATTTATTTGTCTATCGTATCGCACTGAACATAAGTGATACTCGCCTTGTGGTAGCATTTCGTTCTCTGAGCTGGATGTTTTGGTTGTGAAGCTTTCATTATCTTTCTGAACAACATCATCAGCACAAACGTCAGATAGAAGAGAAGAAATTCAAGTACTTCACTTCTATCTGAAGTTTGTGCTGATAAGGTTGTTCAGAAGAATAATGAAAGCTCTACAACCAAAACATCTAGCTCAGAGAACGAAACACCACCATAATCATCCACGTGAGCTAGAAATTTCCTCCATCATCTCATTCTCGCCTTGTCTCCACTTATGCCTTCACCTATTACTCAACTCTAAACTACCAGTCCATGCAACAAAACTTGCCAGTATTCAAACCAGTGAATTCCTTTTCTACCTGTGAGATTTCTGATTCCCAACCAACCCATGATCTAGCATTATTTATCTGCAGGAAGTAGATCACTTCAAATAATAAAGTCAACTCAAAATATTATTCTACAGTCAATTAGATATCACTTTGGAAAGAAAAAATAACTTTTGCGGAAAATCTCACATTGATTTTAATTCATAAATTAATAATCGATTAGTGTAATTCGAAACTCAACTGAGAGAAAAGACAAAGTTTACGCAATTTATTTTTAATTAACTAAACAGCGTTTTTCAAAAAAAAAAATAATCTAAAATTAATTTTTACGTAAATGGAAAAAAATAAACATTCCCACTAAGACTCAGTTGTGCGAACGTGCTACCACCATAATAAATACCTACTGACACAGACTCTCATCCACCCATACAACTAGATGTTTATGTTATCTTCGCCTCTGTTTGAATATGAACACTGAATTAAATCTCTAATAACTATAATAATTCTATCCCGATTAGTTTATTTTTTGTTTTGAAGTTTATAAAGATGCTGAATTGTGAGGATACTTTTTTTAATTAAAATAGATTTAAATGTAAGTATTCTCATATATCAGTTAAATTAGAGGGACATCGATTCACTATGTGTGAATAATAACCTCTCCGTTTGACATAAAGCACAAATCTTTGCCCATTAATAAAAAAGTCGAATTAATTCATCTATATCTCCTCTCCCTTAAACCTCAAACTATAAAACACTTAGTCTAAAAAATAATGAACAGATGAACAGAGTTTTCATCTTGTTTCAACATCTCTGTATAACCAACAGCCAACTGCAAACAACCACGATAGAACAAGAGATAACAGCATTTATACATTTAAAAACCTCTATAATTTGTCAGAGCTCTCTCGAAAACAAGAAAAAACCTCGACTTCTGTTAGTGATCATTTTACAGAATAATTGCTTCCACATCGAACGCTGATTATACAAATCAACATATATTGTTGATTGAACGTAAGAGTTCAATAGTTAACAATACGTTTACCGATTCGAAATTGAACTACTTCACTGATAAAACACTTCTTTACAATTACACTCGTATAGTACATTCCCTGAATGGTGACTTCCTACTATGAACCTATTAGCATTACCCATATATTGCACCTACGGACATTTAGAATAATTAGTAACTAACTGATAACCAAAACTGCAAGAAAGCGTTCAAATACAAGTGGCAGTAACTGACCAACAAATGTAAAATGTTTATAAAAACTAACTGTATAAATCAACTGAAATTAATGTATTCTGTACAACAGAATGATGCAACTAAATCATCTATGTGTTCAACAAAAATATACACCTTCAGTAATGATATTGTCTCTGACTTACAATATGCATAATCATGACTATTCTAATGTACTTAGGCCTTTTTATGCTGAATGAAAACTTCTGAATATCAATAATATGCATGCATGTACAGTAACAATGGAAGCTTCAGAATATAAATGAAATAAATATATTTGGTCGAAGGATTAATCGTTTCGCAAAAAAAACAGTTGAATGACTCATCGATCGGCTCTTACAAAATGGCTAGGAAAATTTGTAGAATGGTAGCATTCTAAGTTCGAATTGTTGATTTTTTTTTCTATTGCTAAACATTCACTAGTCTACTTCTAATAAGTTCTATATGTATCAGTAAAATGATCATGTGACACAATGTGTCTGTTCATTCTGATTGTTCACTCAAAATGCACAAATTTCAAAAAGCTGACAAATTAATGTAAGCTACACAAGTAAATAATCCAACCAATATGATCGACTTACAAATTTTGGATTCATAATTCCCAGTGTACTGATTAAATTCATTCATATTTCCATGTTCATTCGACTGATGTCTAGTCATATAGTCCTCAGACAGCATAAATGAATTCACACATTGTGTTTTGCCAGTGAATTCCGAGTTAAAAGATAGATCAGTTATTTTGTTATTGGTTTTTACCGGGTAACAACTGTTATTCTCCGGTGGAGTACTACATGAATTCACAAGCGCCGAAGTGCCATTTTTCAAATTTGCCTTTCTATAATCATTATTGCTCAATGAATTTTCAGAACAGATTTCTGTTTTGTTACTAGTAGTGGTGACTAATGTATTGTGAATCTGACTTAAATTATTCTGAGCTGTATAAATTGTATTCATTGATTTTATGGGAGACATTTCTTCTCTGTTTGACATATCATCAGGATGAAGCGATGTAAACCTGTTTTTCATACTATCAGTACCAATCCGTGGCTTTTCCAAGAACTCATTTGTCGACGATTTGTATGTGGAATGATGATAGACGTCAAGGCTGTCCATAAGTAAGTTGGTCCCAGATAAGTTGGGGAATGGTAATTCATGATTGACATTTGATGCAAACTTATTAAAACCACCTGCTTGATCTGTACACATCCAGTCAGTAGCATCTACAAATTCTTTGAAATTGCTTCCATTTTTGAAAACTTTATCTATCAAAAAATTAAAAAATGAAACCAGGAATAAGAAGGCGGTTTCCAATTCAGTACAAACAAAACAAAAATACGAACTATCGATTTCCCGAAATACTGAAAAAGTTTCACTTGATTGTTTGGAACCTTTGCGCATTGAGCACATCCAATCATTTCCATAAACTAACTATGAACATACTGTTATCAAATATCACTCATGTAGGCTTACTGGTTTAAATTTCTGTATGCAGATTAATCCGTCATATAGAATACAACTACATCTAACTTTCAATAACTAAGTTATTCTCATTGTTAAGTTGTTTTTTTTCCTACGTGGCTTGGCAAAACTACATTAATCGATAAAAAGCATTATACAAATCACAAAGGAATCATATCAACCATAGTTTCGGCTTGTGAGTTCTAATACATAGATGAAGAAGAAGGTAAGAGTAATTGCTGTTCACTACCTTCGGTCCAATTAATCACAAGCTATCAAACAACGAAGTATTACAGGCAGACATAAGTAAATTAAAATTGTCCACCGTGGCAAACAACTAAATCAATTGTCTGCAGGAACATCTAGCACACAGTTTTAGCAAATGTCAACAACACCAGCACCATAAGTATTTTCCAATTTCAGCAAAGCTATTTCATACGTCTACATGAAATTAGATAATTAACTCAAAAGAAATATGAAATAATATTCTACTATAGTTTAGTTTGATGTCACAGACTTTGAGTTACAGTTAACTTCTGGTATGCTCAAAAATTCTACAATGAATCTGTTTGAAGTTGGCTAACCATAAGGTTTATCGTATGAAACATAGCCAAAAAGTGTTAGTTCGAAAGTAAACTGTCCAAAACTCGGTGTTTTTAAAAAATTTTGTTCAGCTGTCATCGACCTGTGATAAAAACAACTTTTGTACGTGGTTTACTAGATTTTTGAAGAAAACTGATCTTAACCTCGGGAAAAATCTGTTTATTTTTTACCAAAATGGTGTTATGGTGAAGTATTAATTATATTATCGAGTATCAGTGGAAATCTATGCGAAGGTTGTTTGTTTGCTGCGAAGTTTAGCAAAATGTATAAATTTGTTCTAAACTGAATAAAACAATACCATGGTGTATACTTGTATATTCGCTTCAAAATCGAATATCAACGAAATACCTTTATCTGTCTATTTCGAAACTTACCTTATCAGGTGCAGAAAAATTGTTCAATACTGTTCTATTTTTGTAATCTTTCTAGTGCATTCTAAATCTGAGTAATGTTTTAACGTGAAATCTCTCGACACATGACCCAAAAGCAGTTTCGAAAAATTTCAGAATGCTTATAACATTTATTGGTTGAGGACTCTATCATGCATTATTGTTCACTGCTTTGTCATCTAAACAACTCTAATCAGTAAATTTCATGATCAACTAATTTGTTTCTTACAAAATAAATAACTTTCAAATACATGTAGACATTAATAAATGTAATTGTATTTAAATATCTTACTTTACTATTATAGTGTCTACTTTAGAAAATGTCAAAAATACTCACCAGAAAACATTGTCGATGACGGAAAATTCATAAATCTATCAGACTCAATGATGTTTGCTCTTTCAATCGACTGCATATGAACAGTATTGTTTATATATGTTTATATATATATATATATATATATTTATATATATAGATATTTATTAATAAGTGTATTAGTAGTACAAAAAACAAGTGAGAGATGAAATGAAGAACAAATAGAATTGGAGAAGGAGGTGAGGATAGGAAATAAGAACTAGCTTATTGTCATACTTTAAATGGTGGTCATATTTACATCAAGATTTGGTGACAACGGATATGAGGCTCGTCTTCATTGATTCATGCCAAAGTAGTGTTGAGACTAATAGACTAAGGGAAAAAAACTCATATTTATTACACAAATATGAAGAAAAAGTTAACAGCAATAAAATCATTGACAAAAAGACATTTATTTCTCTTCCAATTAAAAAGGGCGAATTTTATAACACATATCATGGATAAACTGATGATTAGAAAATGTCAAGAGATGCACAAGAACATGAGTTTAAATGAGGCAAAGAGTAACATATATATACACAATCGTGAAAATTGTCCTCTCTCTCACCCGGACAAATTAAGTGGAAATAGGCAGCAAAGAGTATGGAAAATACAAATTTCTCTACAATTACTTATATTTGATTGGTTGATCAATTGTAAATGAATTACTGAGCATTTTTGTCACCCATACTCCCTATATTTAACTCTTGATTGTTGTTGTTAATTTAAATGTATTTAAAGACCTAAAATTGTGAACATATTTTGTTCTCTTCAAGCGATAACTGTTTGATATCAGATCAATACAAATAACTTTCACAAAATATCTCTTTAAATGTATATTTAGGATAATTTATGTCAACGATTTCATGCAGTTTTAAATGAATTTCTCACCTGTTGTACACTAGTCACACTTGGTCTGAGAGAACTATGACCACCATTAAAAAACACAGCTAAAAGAAAAGAATTTTGTAGACTACTCACAAATAATTTATTCATTTTACAAATTCATAATCTTCAATGGAGTTCAGTAGAACATTAAGTTACAATGAGGACAGTGATTGCCATGAAAAGGATCAATCGATAACAGAAGCATAGTAGTAAGAGAATGTTTAGATTTGCAGTAAAATCGAAAGATATTAGAATGTAATTCACATCCATGGTCTGATCTCAGTTCAAAAATCATTGAAAATTTTCTGCGGTGTAATCTGCCTTTAAACTGAACAGATTTCCACAAAATCCAAATTGGTTTTATAATTTCGCACTGACTTTCTTGTTTAGAATGGAAATAAGAGTTTCACAGTTGAATGACCAAGCCTATGGAACCCAACACTGGCATTCGACTGTTTGCAAAAAACCGCAAATATACCATAATCAATGTATTATTGTTTTACATAATTAAAAAATAATGCCTATTACTATGTACCACGTTCATTCCAACATGTGTTCAATAAAAATGATGTTTTTGAACAAAGTAAATTACGACACTGGGAAATGTGAACTTTGCCAACTAAAGATTTGAGAAATATTTGTTCTCGGTTTATTGTAGGAAGTTATTAATGAATTGTGACACAGTCCTTAAACTTACTTATAATAAAATAAACACTGACAATAGTTTTGCCCTTGTCATTAAACCTGTTATACACTACAGATTATTTGTTTAGAATCGCATAGTCTTTAATAAAACGAAGAATGTGTTTAACATAATCTGTAAACTTTTTAGTAAGTAAAGTATATCAAACTATCTGATTATCTTCTATTTAGTCTTTAAACTTGTTCATCAACATGTCATGAAAATATCATTCATTTAAAAGACAAAATTAATGTTGCATATCAGTTCCTTTTCACTTTCATGAAAATTTTTCAGACGGAACATCACTGACTATAAAACTTCCTAACATCATTAATGTCTCCAGTTGCAGTTTGCGACTAGGAATCTCAGATCAACAAAACTATCTCTTTATGATGCTCAGGCTTTGATTTAAAGACAGCGTATATTACTGTTAGGATTTTCTCTATTTTGGTATCTGGTTTTCATTTCCTTGGTTGAACATGGTTAGCCTTTAACGAATCTGGATCATCCTCCCTTACATTATTCTTCTATAAACATTATGTCCCAGTCCTGATACTAAGAAAATACTAGTTCCTAGCTGCTGTCCCACTATTCCAGTAAAAAAAAGTTGTTTTTTCCCAATACCGGATGTGAAGACATCATGGGACGACATGAACTGAAAGAAAGGAACGAAAATGGTGAGAGATTTGCAAACTTATGTGCCTTCAACAAACTGGTCATCGATAGTACAATATTATCAGACAAATGCATTTACGAAGCTACATGGATTTCACCGGATCACACTACTCAGAATCAAATCGATCAACCAACATTCCAGCTGAGACAGTCAAAGAAGATGTGACAGCAACTAAAAAATATTTCAAATTTTCTTCAACAAGATGTGGACGGAAGAAAAGCGCCAACAGACTGGAAACAAGAATACTTCATCAAAATACCGAAGAAAGGCTATCTCGGTAAGTGTGAGAACTGTCCAATTTCTATTCATTCGTCTCATATATTTCTCTATTTCTCGGCGTAATGTGTTTCTTGGCCTTCCTCTTCTCCTTTGACTTTCAGAGTTCCAAGTGAAGGCTTGCCATGTGACGCAGTTAGGTGCTGTCCCCAATCTGTAGCCTATCCACTTACAGTGCTTCTTTATGATTTCATCCTCCATTGAAATCTGGTTTGTTCTCTCCCACAGAAGGTTGTTGCTGATGGTGTCTGGCCAACGAATACGAAGTATTTTAAATAGACAATTGTTAATAAACACTTGTATCTTCTGGATGATGGCTTTCGTAATTCTCCAAGTTTCCGCTCCATACAGTAGAACTGTCTTGACATTTGTATTGAAAATCCTGATTTTGGTTTTGGTTGGAAGTTGTTTGGAGTTCCAGATATTTTTCAACTGTAGAAATGCAGCCCATGCTTTGCCGATCCGCGCCCTCACATCTTCATCGGATCCACCTTTCTCGTCGATGATGCTGCCCAGATATGTAAAGGTGTTAACGTCCTCCAAGGCATCTCCATCAAGAGTGATTTGGTTTGTGCATGTTGTGCTGCATCGGAGAATTTTGCTTTTTCCTTTATGTATGTTGAGACCTGCTGCTGCTACACTGATCGTCTTCTCTTGCATTTGTTGTTGCGTGTTAGATAGAAGAACCAGGTCATCTTCCAGCTGCATCCTGGTTATCCACTGCATTCCGTGCTTCCCTCCAGATGTTTACGTCTTCATAATCCAGTCGATCACCGGGAGATAGAGGAAGGGTGAAAGTAAGCAACGTTGCCTGACACTGGTCTTCACCTTGAAGAAGTCTGTGAGCTGTCCTGGGTTCTGATGATGTAGTTCTCACACTTGCTGAGATCGCCTCTCTTTGGTATTTTGATGAGGTATCCTTGTTTCCAGTCTGTTGGTACGTTTCTTCCTCCCATATTTTGTTGAAGATAATTTGAAGCATTTTTGAAGTTGTTGCCACGTCTGCTTTGATTGAGTTATCTGGGATGTTGTGTGATCCTACTGCCTTGCCGCTCTAAATTTTTCTAACAGCCAAGCTAATCTCTTCCATTTTTGGTGGGCCAACGTTGATTGAGAGGTCCGTGGATGCTGGTCTGCCACTGCTAGATCTTCCACATATTGAGTTTTGTCGGCTCTGATGCTCCTCTTCACTTGCTTGTTTATTTCTGTGTATTCAGCTTGTGCTTTGGCTTTCTCTGCTACTGTTCGGCTGATGCTAATTGCTGTCTCCTTGTTCCTCCGTTCTTGAATTTTCTCAAGATTACCAACAGAGATACATTACTTATGAGGGTACTTCATGTGGCCCAGAACCTCGTGACATGTTGAAGTAACTTCCTCCTTGATCCCTTTCCAACTGCTCTTCAAGACTGTCTCCTTTCCGTTTAATAGATTGTGCAAGGCCTGGAACCTATAGCTGAGGGCTATCTTGAATTTGCTGAGCTTCCTAGTATCTCGAAGAAACGCCATATTAAACTTCTGTGATGTTTTGCTCCCCTCTGTCCAGTGTTTCTTGAGTTTCATTTTCATTTTTGCAACCAGCAAGTGATGATCTAAAGCTACATCAGCTCCTTTCTTGGTTCTCACGTCCTCTATGGTCCTTCTGAACTTTCGATCGATACAGATATGGTTGATTTGGTTGTGAGTAGTGTGATCCGGTGAAATCCATGTAGCTTCGTGTATGCGTTTGTGTGAGAATATTGTACCATCGATGACCAGTTTTTTGAAGGCACATAAGTTCGCAAATCTCTCACCATTTTCGTTTCTTTTATCCCAGTCACTGTCGTCCCATGACATTTGCTCACTGTCTTTACAAAATCACATCTAAAAATGCGTAAATCAGATTATTTACTTTGGTTGATCACTGGGCAGTGATTAACTTCATAATTGTCTAGGCCTTTGATGATGATCAAGGTCTAAAGATCATGTGGTGTGAACCAATATCAAGTACATTATGTTTGAATGTTAGATGGTTTGAAGTGATGTACAGGAAGTTCCTGATCTAGGTTTCTCACTAGCTGAAGCCTGTCCACATGATGTACCACTTGTAGTCTTGGGGCATTGATACGTCTTGTCGGTATGTAACCTGATTCGTTGGAGTTACAGAGACTAGTGGCTATATTTCGTCTTTACTAATTGAATCCTATTAGATTAATTGTTTCGTTTCAGGTGGTTGGAAATAGGTCTCTATCGTCATTATTTGCCCCCAGAAAAAAGGACCCATGTTAGTAAGAGAAATCAGGTGAACAGAAATTATTCGGTTGTTAGTAAGAAAATAAAATATCTCCATGTGTACTTTTGATTATCTGCAAGTGCTAGGACTGAAAACTTCAGACAACCATTTTTCGTTGCTTTTTGTGCACTTATAATGTTCATCATAATGAGTTGTGGTTTCACGGTACTTCACACTCACATTAAAGGACACTGAGAAAAAGACTAGAAGAGATGCTCATCTATCTATGTACGTCAATTTAGTATACTTTTAACGATTGTAAAGAAAAAC